CCAAAGCTCCACGGATGGCATTAGTTTTCTTCCTGGAATGAGACTCCCAGCCTGCACCTGTAAAGGACAAGACCATCCCACACCTGGAAAGTCGCGCACTGCCCCCGAGATCGATGTTATTGAAGCCAGTGTGCATCCGTTGGATGAAACTGTTCCATCAACAATTGGTGATGTGTCTCAGAGTGCGCAGGTTGCACCTTTCGATGTTTGGTATATGCCAAACTATGGTTCGTCTTGTGTGTTCAATCCTTCTGTCAAAGATTTTCTAACACGTGCTCTAGAATTCACGGAACTTTACAACCCCAAGGTCTCACGCATGAATGATTACCGAGGTGGACCTTTCCAACAAGCCATTTCAGGAGTCACCAACCTCAACAATAATTGGTATGACGGCAAAGCCTACCAAGTCTACGCCTTTGAATACACACCTGGTGCCAAGGGGGACATAACTTGGTACGTCGGTAAGGATAAAACCTGGAAACTCGATGCTCGTGCTCTCGGTCCCAACGGGAATATCGGCCAGCGCGTAATCCCTGTCGAGCCTATGGCACTTATCATGAACTTGGGTTTATCACAGAGTTTTGCGATGTTGAACATGACAGGTTTAGCACCATTGTTTCCGGCGAAGATGAGATTTGACTACGTGAGAATATATCAGGATCCGGATAAGAAAAGCGTCACTTGTGATCCAAATGGAATGGAGACGACAGGGTATATCAAGCAGCATAAGGACGTTTACACGAATCCTAACTTGACAGCCTGGTATGGGTGTTGTTCATTCAAAACGAATAAGGAGATGTATGCTGACTATATATCCAGGTCGCAAACAGACTATGGCTGGCCGAAGAATAAATTCGTACATGGGTGCGAATAGTGGGCTTGCTATTAAATTTTCCTTTGTCCCTCCTTGCTGCCTACTCTTGAGGAAAGCCAGCTTTCTTTTCCCATCTGATTTGCTGCTTTCGTTTCTCCATATACCCCTTTTTTCCATCTTTACTTCCTGTAGATGTACGACTATCACTTTCTTTTTTTACTCCGTTGTACCTTTACCAAAATTCTCCGTTTAATACCCTTCTGGTGTTCCATTCTTTCTTCCCTGCTATGATTGCATTTAGCGAGGCGGACAGCATTCGGCGGGCGAAATAAAAATTAAAATATTTGAAATAGGGTTTTAGAAGCTAGGGATCGCTGGATGTATGTATAGTAGTTTCATCATCAAGAGCTACTCCTTCATTTTTTGTCTTTTCTTTTTTCAATTTTTCCCTGTGAATTACTATTTCCATCATCTCTTTTTTTGTTGAATGTTGTCCTTAATGTCTTAATTTTACAAAACACTGTTCTCTTCAGCATGAGAGGATAATGCTCTCCATGTCCTGTACATACTACTTTGTGGGCGGAATTTTCCCCTTTTTCAGTTTCTGATTGGCTGAGGATTTGAATTAACTATGTATTCATTTATTGATTTGTCAGGCTGTCATTGCTGTGAGGATTTCAAGAACAAAAATGACTGCTGCAGAGTTAATGCAGTTGAAATGTTGTGTGGTAGTTATGTAGTTATGTGAGATGTATGGAGTAGTTAGCTATCATCAAGATGCTACCTGACTTCACACACTATGCTGGAGCCCTTAATTTATATGTGTCTGTATATGTGTATGTATGTAGTAGTATGTTATAGTCTTCCATGGATGAAATGCAGTTGGGAAAGCCCATACAGAGTACATACATGCCATATGTTGATTTTTGAGGTTTATTACTGATTAAAAACAACAAAAAAAAAAAGAAGTGCTTAATCAGGATTCAGGAAGAAATATGTAAAAAGACATGATGGATATGATATGCTTTAGAAAGCTTCACTTGGAAAAAAAAAAAGCATTGAAAAAGAGCCAATACAGCAACAGGGAGAAGGGGGGCATGGAGAGTTGTGATAACCATTAGTTTATTGCTTCAAAAATTTGGAAAAAGAATAATAAACACACACGGGGGTTAAGGTATATAGTTAATTAAAACAAAAACATGTATAGTATTGTAGACGCTTTGCAACAGAAAACAAAACTAACCCCAGGATATATATATAAACAGATGGGTGTACGGAGTATGCAAAAAAAAAGAAAAAAGACACCTACACCGGCTAATGTCTCCCCCCCCTCCTTTAAACAGATCTGCTTATATATATTCAACCATCGATCGCCTCACGTCCCTCGCATTCACATACCCATACACATTAAATGTTACTTACCTATCTGCCCGGGCCCATCTCATAAATCTGCTCCGGCACCGGCCCCGCATGCGTCGGATGCATCCCGTTCGGACTTCCCGGAGCCGTTGACCCCGCGCTCAGCGGGCTCGGCGGGCCCATGCTCGCGCGCTGGTTATAATAGTCCGCGGCCTGGCCCTGGGGCGACGGCTGCTGCTGCGGCTGGAGGCCTGAGCCGGGCATTTCGGCCATGTTGGGCTGTTGCGGCTTTTCGTAGCCGTATGAGGGGGGCTGGGGGCCGTCGCTCGGGGGCTTGTTGTCTTGTATGGGTGGGGAGTAGTAGCCTGCAGCCATGTTTGGCGGTGGGCCGTATTGCGGTTCTTGAGGGGGTGGAGGTCCATGCGTGGGATTGGGTTGCGTGCCGGCGGTATCGTCGCGCTTGCGCTTCACGCAGAAGTACCAGACGAAAAAGGCGGCGATACCACCGACGCCAGCGCAGGCGCCGACAACGATACCGGCGATGGCGCCGCTGGAGAGGCTCTTGTTGCTGTTGTTGTTGTCACCGCCCTGGCCACCGTTGCCAGGGGACGTTGGGCTGCCTCCGGGGGAATTGGTGGTGGATGTGGCAGAGGATCCTCCAGATGACGGGCCAGGCACGATGGATGAGCTGGAAGCGGGTAAGCGAGTCCTCCAGTCAGGCCCATAGACCGATGCGTAGTAATCAGAGAGTTGTTGGACTTTGGAGGTGACCGAGGCGATTGGACGACAGCCTACTAAGCTCGATCCTCCTCCGAAATCGTACGTTCCACAATATGGTTCGGTGGTCATGACACATTTCAGGATTCTTGGGTCGGCCATGCAGGCAGCATCGCACGACGCTCCATATGGGATGCAGCTTGAGGGGATGTTTGTGCAGTCGGTAACCGCGCTGCTTATACAGCAGCCAATTGCAGTGCCTTGGTGGACACAGTTTGCTCGGGCGTTGACGCAGGTCAACAAGTTTGCTATGCGAAAAGAAATGGCAAGTAAGTACGTGCGCAAAGCAGTCCATGCAGTCCAGAGCTAAAGTGGCAGGTTCAGAGAAGACAAGGATTACACACCAGGGTCACCGTTTACGAGACCACAATAATATCCTGGAGGCGGTAACGGCAAAGTCGTTTTTTGCTGGCGCGGCATCAATTCGCGAGGAAGGCCACGAGGCAAGCCTGGTGGATCAGTTGGTTTTGGAGACATGCCGATGGCAGCCATCAACCCAATTGGAGTCTCCTGGGGAAGAGGCATTATAGGCACTAAGCCCTCGACGCTCCCCAGGGAGAGGAGGGTTGCAAGAGTGGTGCTCCATGAGTAAAAGCCCTGCATTGTGTAGACCAACGACCTTTCAACCTGTCGAGCAAAGCGACGGAGCTGCTCTTCTTTCTCGCCGCTCGCGACAGTTGTCAACGAGGGACACGAGAAAGAATGGATATGGGTAAGGCAAAGCGATGAAGCACGATCTGATCGCAGTAGCCCAGTGAGAGATCCCCGCTAGCTTGTCGCAAAGACGCCTTGCAATAGCTAACGACAGTAGGGAGGAGTACAGCACATGAACGAAAGTAGTTATAAGACGCAGGCTGCTATCTCTCAAAGACCTGAAAGAAGAGCTCGAGTCTCTCAACCTCGCGCGTGTTGAGAACAGAGAAGAAGAGAAAGAGAACCGATTCCCATCCGCCACAGCCTCAATAGGAAAAGGAGACTTGCGGTTCTCGTGCCAGCGAGGCGAGACGAGGCTCTGCTCAATATCATTTTTGCGGGAAAAGCTAATAAACGTCCACCGAATGGAATGATTGATTATAGTGTTTGATGGCGTTTTGGGTGCTCTTCAGTGGAACAAAACACGAGGAGTCCGATGGAATGGCCCAATGACGGGCGACAGAGAGGTGAAAAGCGCAGGGATCACAACTCGACCCGGCTGGAATGATAGACAGCAGCACCGCACACCGTCGAGTTTGCATTTTTTTTCTTTTCTTTATGAGTTGATTTAGCTCGCTGGCGATGAGTCTGAGTGGCTGCGATGCTCCAGATGCCGCACTAGCCTTACCGCATTCACTGTGGGTTTAGCGAGAAACATCATTAGCCATAACTGCTATGGTACTTATAAGTTGCCCACTCACCAGTCCATCTTGTCTTCTCTTCTCTTCATTCTTTTCTGGTCTGCCAGTTAGTTCCTGAAGAGTTTGATATCAAAAGCAGTTTGATGAAGTTGCTCGTCTTGTCTCCAGCTCACAACAATGAGGATGATCGAAACAGAACCAGTACAGTACAGTAAGTAACAACACACTCGATTGTCCAATAATAGCTCTCGAGGCTGCATATCATGTTATTTGATTGGCCAGATTTAACTTCAATAAACACGCCTCCCCGACCCACGCGTCATCAATGCACGGATAATTTTAGTCCGTACTGTAATAATAAGTACAGCTAGTATTAATCTAGCCAATTGAATCCTCTAATTTGCAAAATTCTTTTGGGAAATTGCACTCCGCCATCTCACCGCGCTGTAATATTACACCAGCCTTACCATACAGGCTGTTTCTATTAATATCTCTTCAATTCATCATACATACCAACTGGCTGCTTTCTGACAACAGAAAAAAGGCGAAGAAGCTAGAAGAAGTCAGGTATAACTCACATCGGGAAATGTCCTGTTGGAGAGGAGGTGCTCTGGTAATGGGGGAGAAGTCTGCAAATCAAAACGATGCGCCTGAGACAGAGACTGTTGGATAGACTGGATCTGGAGACAGGAAGACAGCAAGAATGATTTCAAATATGAACTTGGCAGGAATCAAACCTACAATGTTCTGATTCATTGTCAGGCATCTTGCCAATGGGCCACAAGTTCAGTGAGATTGAAGATAATGACTTTTGGTAATATCTCATTTCCATGTCGTGGAATGCGTTTTCTCGGTTCCATGAATGTAACTATTATATCGCAGAGGCATCTTGTTTGATTGAGCTCAAATGAGTTCACGTATACACTATCCTTGAAGGGAATGACCTGAAACTTATAAGCCAGCTTTGCGTCAAGGGCTATTTTATTAGTTGATCAGCATTTTTGCAGAACACCTGGATGAAATTGGAACATTTTCAAGTGATTTCAAAGGTAACCAAAGGGCAGACCTGGGATTCCGTCGGGTTCGAGTGAAAGTAGTGTACGTGACTCTGAGACTACTTGGATAACCAATTTATTAACCCAATATCATCAAAGATTGAATTATCCGCAGGCAGTCTAGTAGTAGTCCAGGGACTCGAGAGTGCCGACGACGAGCAAAGCCATATTCAACCCCTTGCAACGATTCAAGACAAGCTTTTGAGCAAGCCACACGAGGGCAATTGCTTTTGCTTCTCCACAATAAGCAGCGCGGGGTCTGTCGGCTTTTTCATTTATCGCTTTTGCATAGTAGTAGTAACCGTCAGGACGAGGTCAGGGTGTTGCAGTTCGTCAGGAGTTCTCCAGCCATGCAAGACTGACTGGCAGATGAAACAGGTCCTTTGGCACATTGAGAATTCCCTGAACTATCCTAGTTGATAGTTCATCATTTCTTCAAGCTGCACAGGGCTCTAATCTAAGCGAGGGTAGCCGAAGGTGTTGTCTGCTCAGAGTATCAGTTAGTTAGGAGGTAGCCAGAGTTCGTTTCTTTTAATCAGACACAAGAACTAACTGATGTGGATTCTTCTAGTAGAATCTCTTCCTGTGACGGAGCATCATTGTCCGTTAACTAGGATGTATTTTAGTTGATTGTGAGAATTTGCTGCCAAACCTTCCCACATTGGTCTCGTGACAGCTCTCCGCTTGTAGATGGACTTGGATTGACAGGGAAAATGGGAACAAGCAACGGTACCTGAACCTCTGTCCTCTGTGAAAAAGAGGGTCTCACATGAAATGCCTGACAGGCTCGTTCCTCAGTAACTCAGCTTCTGTTCAATTTGATAAATAAACATCAATCTCTCTATTTGCTGGAACTAGTTAACTAATAGCTGCTAGAGTGACTGCAAGCCCATTCGTCCATTCAGGTGCGACGACCAGCTCGACCTCGGCATTCTAGATTCCGTGTCATCGTCTTTTCTTGGGGAGTCAGTCTCCGTTTCTGTCCGATCTTGGGTTCTTCACAATCAACTACCTAAATACATACATACCTACATAGCTAATTATCATCTGAGCACTTGGAGCACGATTCATCTTTAAAAAATACTGCTCTCCTGTTCATCGTGACCTCGGATTGGCAGCAAGCCTCAGATTTCAGCAAATTGATCCCCAGGCTGGCGGGGCTGGGGGTTCGTCTCGCAGACATGTGGAAGGCGTCAGAGCGACTGATAGACACCATCAGTCACTATGCTTCTTTTCCAGCAACGGGTGTCTCCCTCAGGCAGATGGTTCAATTCGGGCACAGACCATCGACAGGTATGTTAGATACAGGTGTGTACATAAAATCGACTCCTTTTTGTGTGTTGCCTTGCAGAGGTTTGCTGAATTCTCCCGAATGGTATGCAGGAACCCTCTTTCGAGCCTCCCAGTTTCTGTCTGAAGAACTTCCAATCCGTTTGGCACACCGGGTGAAGGAGTTGGGTGATCTGCCTGATGGACTGAACGAGATGCCGTCAATCAGAAAAGTGCAAGATTGGTATGCACAGTCGTTCGAGGTACAGCATCCTAATCGTCCTTATATGCTGAACTGAAAGACAAGCCGTCTGACTCATCGTGTCCTCATCTAGGAGATCATCAGTCTTCCACGACCAACCCTTTCACAAGAAGTCAGGTCTCGTCTTCTGCGTCCTAGCCGCCAGAATGGCCGCGAGCCAAAAGTCCTTGAGGAGGCAACGCAAAATCCGAGTGTGAAGGACGGTCAATATCGCTCCTCCACAACGTCAATTCTTCAACAGACGAAGGACTATTGCATTAATGGCAATGGTAACGGCAATGGCAATGGAAATGGAAATGGAAATGGAAGACAGAGAGCAAGTGGCAACCGAAGATATTTCGTTGCTGCAGACGATGGTGCCGAATGGCCTCCCGAGCTCAGAGATTATAACAATCGATTTGCTTCTACGCTGCATCACATCAAGAGAAGGCACGATAGTGTCGTTACGACTGTTGCGCAAGGTATTCTAGAGTGGAAACGAAAAAGACAGCGACTGCAGATCGATTCGAATATACAATCCTTCCTCGATCGATTTTACATGTCTCGCATTGGTATACGGATGCTCATCGGCCAACATATCGCGCTCACACAACAGACCCACGAATACCACCCGAATTATGTCGGAATCATCTGCACCAAGACCAACGTTCGAGAACTGGCACAAGAAGCTATTGAGAATGCGCGATTCGTATGTGAAGACCATTACGGATTATTTGACGCTCCAAAAGTTCGCCTCGTTTGTAAAGACGATGTGAACTTCATGTACGTCCCGGGACACTTGTCTCATATGCTTTTCGAAACGCTGAAGAACTCGTTACGCGCTGTTGTGGAAACCCACGGACCAGAAAACGATTCGTTCCCAGAAATCAAAGTTATTGTTGCCGAAGGCCGTGAGGATATAACGATTAAAATCTCAGATGAAGGAGGAGGGATTCCGAGATCGTCGATTCCGCTTGTTTGGACATACATGTACACCACTGTCGATCAGACTCCAAGCTTGGATCCAGATTTCAATAAGAGTGATTTTAAGGCTCCAATGGCTGGCTTTGGCTACGGTCTCCCGATCAGTCGGCTCTATGCACGATATTTTGGCGGCGACTTAAAGCTGATTAGCATGGAGGGGTAAACAACACTTTGCTCAAGTCATCCCCCATTTCCGTACCTAGAAGCATGCTAACTCCCTATTTTTAGTTATGGCACGGATGTATACCTCCACCTTAACCGCCTTTCATCGAGTTCGGAACCGCTTCAATGACAATTACCAGTCATGAAGGATGGCCGCACGCTCATACGCTCGTCTCGCCACTTCTATCCTCCTCCGTCATCGCCATCCCAAATGTTAGCACCTATGAATGTTACCACTATTCGTTCAACGATAGGGAATACAGAGATCTCAGAACGAAAACAAGTTGGGGATGCGGAGAGCCTCGTCTATCAGGAGAGAAGTTGGTGAGAACCCATGCTCGTGGGGCTCTCGCCCGCTGATTACCGTTTCCCTTCCGGCCGGCTGCAGATTTTGATTGCTCACATTATATTCCTGAGTGAAGGACAAGCCTGTTCCTGCGCATTAGGAGACTTCGACCAATCTTACGGTTTTTACGCGGGCTACTCTATGGACTCAAAACTTGACCGATGGCCGCGATATCGCCCCTTAATCCGTGGGTTGTTCGATTGAGCAACCAAGGCGAAACTTCAAAGCATATATCGCTTGGCGAAGAGAATATATAGCGAGCAGAAAGCAGTCGCACGAGCGATATTATCTTTCATGACACCTTTTACATCCACCACACTCACTTTACGGTATTGAACGATACCCAGATCACTGCAAAGATTCTTTCCTTCCTTCTATGCGAACTTTTCGACTGCTATCCTCATAATATCGAAATGTACTGGTCGCGCACAGTTCTCCCGCCTCTATATACACTTTTGGCATTACTTTACATCTGCCTTACATACCAGCCGTTAAACTTTACCGGAACTTGAAGATTTAAACAAGGAAAAACAAAGTTGAAGGAGCGAAGAAATAGAAATGAGAAGAAACCGGCAATCATGCAATATACAATTTCTATCGAGTACCTGTATATATGGATCCCTTTATGAATTGGAGGCTAGGTCAGGCTCCTTGCTCACCTTTCTGTACATATTTTGGGATTAAATAGTTCACAGATAGTTGCCTCCGTGGTCAACATATCCATGAATGTGTATATAGAATTCTATAAGAGATGGTACTAGGACATCTTTGGTGTGTTAGAATGTCTACCTACCTTATGCAGACGCTGTCTATTTGATTGTTATTATTCTTGTAAGTTTCACATCCATTTCTTTGCCTCCAAGTGATGTATAACTATACCAACACCAAACTCCCCTAACTTTTCACATCATTTAACACTGAACAGCAAAACAATGACATCGTAAGTTTGCTATACAACTCACCCCTCCTACCCCCTCCCTTTCCCCTTTCCCCTCCCAGACGACCCCGGACTCGCTCCCCCCGCTCCCGCCGCCGCCGCCGCCGCCGTCGTCGTCGTCGACACATTCTTCGCCTTCGCCGCACCGCCTTCACTCTCCCCACGATCCCACTGCCACACACCATTGATCTCGATGATGTCAATCATCGTCGGCGCCTGTTCGAACGCAGTATAGCTGGACGGCTTGTTGCCGCCGCTTGCGGTAGTGGTGGTGTCGTGACCGCCGGTGCTGGCGCTGGCGCTGGGTGGAGGTTGGCGGCGCAGGTATATGTACTGTGAGTCGTCCTGGCGGGGGTAGCGGGAGAGATCGCGGATGGCGAAGGGTCGGGTGGTGGGGGGCGGAATGCCGATGAGATGGTGGGTGAAGCGGCGGCGGGCTTGGGGGATGGACTAGAATGGGGGTTTAGTTGGTTTCTTGACTCTGGGTTTCTTTTCTTTCTTTTCTTTTTTGGGAGAACAGCGGGGTGGGATGGGTTTGGTGGGTTTACCTCGTTGCTGGCAAGGGCATGGAACATTAGGAGTTCTGGGTCGTTCAGGATACTTAATGCTGCGTGGCGACGCTCGCGCGTCTCTGAAGATTCGCGGATGTCGTCGCGAGGTGTATAGTTGAGGTAACGGCTCGAAGGCCGGTGATGGTGGCGGCTGCGGGAACGTCCAGCTAGTTAATTGAAGGTTTTGCATGTTAGCAACTATTCATACAACTATGTATATAAAACCTTTGATATTAGTTATAT